CACCGCCAAGTCCAGCAACTTTATTAGTCAGCTCAGAGCATCTCCCTGTCAGAATCTGAAGGAAACAGAATGATGAGTGACTGCGAAGGTATCTGTGTGTTTATCTTATCGTTTGCTATTCATTTCAAGAGTGTGAGTTATTATTAATATGAAGGTTTCATTTCTGGCAGTTCTTCTCTTTGAATGGGTGGAAGCCAAGCTGCCAGCTCTCAAAGAATCCAGGGCCCAGCGTCGTGCTGCCAGGGAGCCTCAGAGCCGAGATGGCAGAACAGAGACATGGGAGGAGACGTTGAATTGAAGAGGGATCAACATTTTGTGTCTAGTCCTTCATGCCCTTTTGGCTTTATATTTCAAAAGAACAGCAAGTAACAGGGACATGAACATGAACATGAACAGGGACAGGCTTGAATGTTGTGAAAATCACAGAAAAGCTGGTGACCAAGAGATTGCTCAGCAAGTTACAGAGATTCACCAAATCTGAAGAAATAATTAACTGATGATTTTGTGTGCTTCATGCAGGGTGAATTCCAGCTGGTCTGAAAAAACACTGTGATGGCTGATGATTTACCACATTTTGCTTTCGACCGGTAGTGGTCTCAGACCCTTGACCACTGATGGTTTTGGTGAATGTTTTGAAGACAAGGCTCCATAGAAGCAACATGGAACATACTACCCAGGGACTGAGGTGCTAGGGTTCCAGGGTGATATCCTAGATACTGTAGTTGCTTAAAAACATTGACATTTATACCCTTTCCACAGGCAATAGCTCACTGGTCCTAAAGCTGAGTGAAGGCCCTTATCTGGTTTCAAGGAAGCCATTTTGACCTTGAGTAAATAATTGTTCCTTTGTACATCCAACCCATTCTCCCATCTACAATTGTAACTCTGCTGGTGAATGACCACGCACTCTTAAGCCATGATGTGGGAACAGAGAACAGGAGGAATGTTCGAGGTGACTCCACACTCCCCTACCGAAGGAACACCACCAGCCTTCATCACTTTAACCAAAGGCACGGGCACTATCGCCGAGCAGAAGAATGTTCAACGATTGTCTGGGGCTGTGTTGGGTGGGTAGGGCAGACAGGGCACCATGTTCCTTCAGCTGTATCTTAACTGTGCTGCATTTGACTGACTTCTCATGTTGACTGAACTGCATTCAACTCATCTCTCAGCATCAATTCAAACTTATTAAATGGCTCTTCATCTTATCTGTTTTCAGCCATCTACTCATCAGCACAATAGAAAGGAGGCTGGCTTATTTCTTTTTCCTGTCAGTCACCACAAGGAGCTGGGAGCTTTGATAAGGGCCTCGATGTGGAAGACCACATGGATTTGAGCTAAGCTGTGGAGAAAGGAGTGGCCTGTCTTAAGTCTCAGAAGGACACTAATGCTATTCGAGCCACTGGGGAATGTTTCCCAAATGCTGCCTGGGGGCGGTCACTATGTAGACAAGGCATAAAGAGAATTCATTGACCACTAGAACTAATTTTCTTAGCTGTTTTCAATCCCTGCTGACCCAGTCATCCCTACAGACCACTGTTAGATTTTTTTTGGCAGAAAGAAAACTGAAGCACCAGTGATAGCCGTCTTGTGACTGTGACCAATTGCCTACTGAACAGTTCTTAATGTCCCAAGCCTCCGCAGGAAACCTGAGTCTACAAAGCCCTGTGCAGCAGAAACGAGTTGGAGTGCAGTGGTCTGGTTCACCTGGGTCGCCTCTAGTGCCCAAGGGGGTTGATATTTTTTCTCTTCATGAAGATTTTCCCATCTAGTGAACGCCACAAACAACACTGCTGAGAATCAGCCTGAACTGCCGGTTTCTGTGGCAGCAAGCCTGGAGCTGGTGGGCAAACGTGCACCATCTTCTTTTTTGGGGGGAGGGGACAAGGGTAGGGTCAGTCATTGAGCTATGTTCAAGGAGTTCTGAGTGTGCAATAAGGGACACCCAACAGGATGAACTCCATCGGTTGGAGAGGGAAGCTTTGGCATCAGTGGGACTTGTACCCTTGGCCTGACAGCAGTATCAAAGAGAAAGAAATCAAAGACATACAGAATCCACAGGCCTAAATATTTGTTTTGTTTGTATTTCCCACACTTTTCAAATATGAACTTGTGTCCTGAAGGTGGAGCTTTAGTACACGGGAAGAGTGGAAAGGGGCAAATATGTTTGTTCAAAATGGGGCAGAATCAGGAAAGAATACACTTATGTGCTTCCTAGTCTCCTACATTTTTCATGCCAAAAAGTAGGCACAGATTTGGATTTCTTTCATGGTAGAAGCCCGCATACAATTAAACGGGAGGGAAAAGAAGCCTGCTCTTCAGAGTGGAGCTTATGGTCCCAGTAGAATGGTGAGAAACTGTAGCCATCAAAGCCATTTATAATTCTTGCTGGTAGTATTTTTAAGATGTCTCTTTTCCAAAATGAGGCAGCGATGAATTGAGTAGTGATCAAAATGTCGTATGATAGAGTATGTTAATCCAAATAGCTTCCAAGACAGTCTGCTACTGATTGTTCCAATTCTACAGGACTTCGAGACATTACTTGTTTACCGGTGAACTGAAACTCTCTCTGCAGTGGGACCTAACTGTCCCTTCTCAGCACATAACAACACTGCCACAGCCGGTTTAGGATGGCAGCGAGGATCAGTGTGTTCTTCATCACTCGGGGGGAAATTTCAAAGTGCTAGCACATAAATCCCCTACTAATGTCATGAGGGGTTCTATGAGCTTCTGCAGATGTTCTTTAGAAACTAGTTTTTCCATTTCCAGCAGTGCAAAACTTCTTCAAACATTTCAGGTGGGCAGGGAATGGGGTGTCAGGCCTGACTGTTCTGGAGCAGAGAGAGCATCTGATTTGCCTTGCCTAGGATCTGAGTAATGTCAAGCCTGTACCTCAGGCCTTCCCCCTTCCTCTTCCACCTCCTCACTGGCACCCCAAACGCCATCACCACAGCAGAAAGAGCAATCTTGTGTCTCGTGGGAAAGGATTTGCTGCCTACTGGAGGCAAAGATAATGTTATCCAATTTCAAAGAAGGAAATTATGAATGGAAAGATGACCCCTCTCTATTCTGAATGGGAGAGTCACTGATGGAATGATAGGATCCTGTAACGAGAAAGCTAGGGCAGAAACTCCTGTTTCTCTTCTGTTTCTTGCTTCAGCTCACCCTTTTTTCCTTGAGCCTTCCTGAGTTTCTTGCCCTGCCTTATTCCTCAGCATTGGGGAGAATTTGAAGTACTGTTGTAGAAGTTTAAATCTGGAATAGGTGCTCCTTCCAGGGGCTCAGCATCTGTAGGAAGCCCACTTACCCCATCCCCCCCCCCCAATAGATTCTATCTAGAGTCAAGGAACTGGGAGGGGAGGGAAGACGGAGAGTGCAACCAGTTACCCTGCCTGGGTCCTAGAAATAGCCTCAGAAGGGACAGAGATCATTTTCCCAGGTTGCATAGGGATCCTCAGAATCCCCCAGCACACCCCTGGATCACCCGCCAGACCTTAACGGTGCTGGTGTTGGTGCTATCAGCTGCAGCTCAGGAGCTGGGCAGCATCTGTGCATCTTCTAGGACCCCCCTTCAGAGAAATTAAGTACCTTACCAATTACCCAGAAGAGATAGTTGTTCAGGTGTGCAGTGATTCAGAAATATAGGGTACAGCAAAAGTAGGTTTACAGTTGTGAGTACAAGAAACACAGTTTAGTCTTGCATTTATTAATTATTGTGTCATTTTCCACACAAACACCTACTTTTGCCCCACTCTGTACACTGGGCTTCAAAAATTCTCAGTGGCTTTGGAGATAACCAGCTGCTGTTTGCTCCCTATGGGAGTTGGTGAGACCTCAGAGGGTCCAAAGGAAAGAAGTAGGAAAGGATGAGAGAGAGGGCAGGTGTCTAGGGAAATAAGGGTACCTGTTCTAGGATTAGAAGGCTAGGCATTTAACTTGGGGAACTTTTCAGTCACACCTGCTGAAAACGATCTCTGGGTATTATTGTAAAGGCCACAGGTGGCACTTTTGGCTAGAACAGAAACATAAGCGGTTCTGGAGCTAGATATGGGTTTGAAATCTGCACTCTGCTGTTCACCAAGCAGTAGGACCCAGGGCAAGTTCCACAAGCTCTCCATGATCATTCTCCTCACTACTGAGTGAGGATAATAGTCACTAATTAATAGGGTTGTTATGGGTATTAAATGAGTCTTAATCCATGTAGTGAATTTAGAACAGCACCCAATACACAGTAAGTGTTCAGTAAATGTTGGGCAGGATCATTAAGGGTAGATGGTGAGTAGAACTTTCAAAGTGCTAGATATGAGAGCCTGGGACTCCGTTGCTAAGGGAGATTAAAGAACCCTTTCAAATATGGGAGCTCCAGCCCCGGGGACTGTCCACCACCAGAGTCTTGGCGCCTGCCTCTCTCCCACCTCACTCTTTTGACCAGGGAAATCCATCCCCCAGCCCCTCCGCCCCCTCATTGACAGGAGAGCCTTGGTCCCCTGAGCCTCCGGCTCGTCCACGTCTCCTGCGCGCCTCCCGGGGCTTCCCTTCCGCCGCTCTACACTTGTTAGTCGCCTCGCAGCCTCCCAGTGGCTCCAGCCCGGGACCTCAGCGGCAACCCCTTGGCGCCCGGTGTCCTCGCTGCCGGTGCCCTGCGTATCCCTCCCTGGCCGCTGCTCCGGTAAACAAAACCCAAGCGTTGGAGCAGCCCCGCGGGCGGACGCGCGCCGGAGCTGGCTCAGTGCACTGTTAGCGCGCCCTGGGAGCCCCAAGCGAGCCAAGGGGCGATGGTGGCGGCCGCGGCGGCAGCAGCAGCAGCTCAGCTTTGTTTTGAATAGATGAAAGAGGCCACCTACATAGTAACCCAAATTATGAGCCCTCCCTCCTCCCTATCTCACCGAATCAAGAGGGGAGGGGAGATGGGCGTGGAGGGAAGGCGGGCGAGCGGGAGGCGGAGGAGGAAGAAGATGAGGAAGGGGGCCAGTTGCATCCCACTTTCACAATGGGAAAGTGAAACGCACAAACGCACCCAACCTCTCCAGCCCTCCCGCCTGCCTCGCTCTCCCCCCTCCCGCTCCGCGCCGCCCCGCGAGCGCCGGCGCTGCACAGAGGAACTCTCCGGAGCTGAAGGGCGAGGAGGAAGCGGCGCCGGAGCGCGCAGAGCTTGCTACTGCCGCCGCCACCGCCGCCGCTGCGCAGGCTGCCGGAGCGAGCCCGCCGCGCCAACCCTCCTTGCTCTCCTTCCCAGGCGAGCAGCGGGGATGGGGCGGCCGCGGGAGCCCGAGCGCGCGCAGGAGCCGCCGCCGCCCGCGTCTCCGTAGCCGCGCGCCTGAGCCGCCGTCGTCACCTCGCGCCCTGCCCGGGGGCACCCCCCCATCCCCATGGAGGTCTCCCGAAGAAAGGCACCACCGCGCCCCCCGCGTCCCGCCGCGCCGCTGCCCCTGCTCGCCTATCTGCTGGCTCTAGCGGCGCCCGGCCAGGGCGCGGACGAGCCTGTGTGGCGGTCCGAGCAAGCCATCGGAGCCATTGCGGTGAGCCGGGAGGACGGAGTGTTCGTGGCGAGCGGCAGCTGCCTGGACCAGTTGGACTACAGCCTGGAGCACAGCCTCTCGCGTCTGTACCGGGACCAAGCGGGCAACTGCACGGAGCCCATCTCCCTGGCGCCCCCCGCGCGGCCCCGGCCCGGGAGCAGCTTCAGCAAGCTGCTGCTGCCCTACCGCGAGGGGGCGACCGGCCTCGGGGGGCTGCTGCTCACGGGCTGGACCTTCGACCGAGGCGCCTGCGAGGTGCGGCCGCTGGGCAACTTGAGCCTCAGCTTCCTGAGCAACGCCACCGAGGTGGTGTCCTGTCACCCGCAGGGCTCGACGGCCGGCGTAGTGTACCGCGCGGGCGAGGGTAAACGTTGGTACCTAGCCGTGGCCGCCACCTACGTGCTGCCAGAGACTGAGACGGCGAGCCGCTGCAACCCGGCAGCATCCGACCACGACACTGCCATTGCGATCAAGCACACCGAGGGGCGCCGCAGCCTGGCCACCGAGGAGCTGGGCCGCCTCAGGCTAAGCGAAGGGGGCGTGCGTAGCCTGCACTTCGTGGATGCCTTTCTCTGGAATGCCAGCGTCTACTTCCCCTACTATCCCTACAACTACACGAGCGGCGATGCCACGGGCTGGCCCAGCATGGCGCGCATCGCGCAGAGCGCAGAGGTGCAGTTCCAGGGCCAGGCGGCCCTCGACTGCGGCCACGGGCACCCCCACGGCCGCCGCCTGCTCCTCTCCTCCAGCCTGGTGGAGGCCCTGGACGTCTGGGCGGGCGTGTTCAGCGCGGCCACTGGGGAGGGTCAGCAGAAGCGCTCTCCCGCCACCACGGCACTCTGCCTCTTCAGGATGAGTGAGATCCAGGAGCGCGCCAAGAGCTGCAAGTGGGACTTCGAGCCCAACCAGCAAAACTGCGTAAGTCCTGCCCCCAGACACTGCTGGAGCGCTCCCACTGGGGACCCACCACCGAGGCAGAGCTGAAGGAAGACCGGGTTGGCATTACCAGGTCCGGGATTCACAGCCCGGTTGCTGCACGATGGTCGTTCTAACAGTCTCCAAGGCCTCGGAGAGTCTAAAGCAGGGCCGGAGGTCCCCAAAGGCAGTGTAAAAAGAGAAGTGGAGAGGGTAGGAGTTAGGGTCAAAACTCTAGTGAATGCATCCCAGTGCCATCATTCCCTGCCCAAATGTAGCCGCTTGTTTGGGGCCGAGCCTCCCCGTGCAACCCCACCCCTCCCTTTCCCAATCGCTAACCCAAGTGTGGTTTTGGCAGACCTGTGGCTTTGACCCCTTTCCTCAACATGGTTACCGAACGTAGAGCCCTCAGCAGAGAAGCCACTGAACCTAAAGGACTTGCTGCCACACCCCGGGCTTTGTGTCCCCCACCACGGTAACATATGTGGTATGGTCTGAAGAGTTGGTAGCCTGATGAACACGGGGCAGAGCTAGCCTGGAAAAGAGGCTCCTGTTTGGCAGATCAGAACCCTGGGCGCGACCCAGAGAAAGGGGGCGGGGCTGTGATTCTGTTCAGGGTGAACTGTGGTCTCCAGGTGGAGGGAGAGGCTGGGAAGGCAGAGGCGGCTTTGTGGGTAGAAGCCTCACCCTGGAAGGGGAGAGCAGGAAAAAGTGTGGGGTGCTAAAGGCAGTTTCTGGGCTCCAGGTTGCCTGTCTGAATCGTGGGGCTCAGAGGCACCACCCTTCTGTTGTACCCAGCCCGGAAAACAGCACAGCCTTTCCTTGGGTTCCCAGGGCACCCACAGTGAGACTCTTGAAACTGGCATTTCTTGACTGGAAAATAAAGCAGTGGTTCAAGAGGGTCCAGTTGATGGGGATTATGGAGCCATTGTGCACTTCTCAGAGGCTGTTTTCCTTCCAAGGCTGCTGGCACATCAACTCCACATATGGCTCCTGAGAGGGGAGCCTGCTGAGTGCCTCCTTTATAACTGGACAGAAATCAAAGAGCAGAAATTAATGGCTACAGGTGTTGCCATTGTTTTTGGTGTAGAATGTGTCAGAGAGGCAGGGGAGAAGTCTCCACTTGGAATATGTGTTGGTGCAATTGTTGTGTAAGCACACAGGGGAGCGTTCGCTCTAAGGTATATTAATATGCATATAAAGGACACCCCCACCCACTCCCTTCTCTTCAAAGCCCATCTCACCAAATATTAGCCCCATTATTTAGGAAGAAAAAAACCTGAGGTCCTCTGCAACGCTCCTTAGAATGGACATTTACTTCTTCCTCCTTGCTTATCAGTTGTATGCTGAGACACACACATAATGCTTTCATTTAGTTACTGGTATAATTTTTTTAAAGCACAAATGACACATAATGAACCATAAAGGACTTATTTTGCTATACACATCTAACTGAATATTTAATATTGGTATTTATTAGATCTTTATAATCTTATAGTTCAAGTTGGGCAAAAATTATTGCCTTCTACCCCTCTGTTGAAAAACTTGAAACTACCCCCAAATATTACTTTCTGTCGAGCTTTAGGCAATACTTGGTCTCCCGGGTTCACAGGAGACAGCTTGGAGGCCCCCAGCAGGTAAGAACGGGAAGTCCAAGCTTTGCCATCTGACAGCTGTGTAGATGTGTGGAGCCAAAACATTTCTCTTGACTGCCTCTCTCCGCCCATTGGGTCCTGGAGGACTTAGTTCCCTTCCAAACCCAGCAGGCATCTCGAATGTATTCAGAATCCAGGTTTTGGCCATATCAGGTGTTCAGACTTGTGCTGGGATGAGGAGGAGAGGGACCAGTTTATCATCTTCAGGGGAGCTGCCCCTTGGAAATCAGGCAAGGGATGAACATATGCTGCCAAAAATCAGGAACTGGAAAAAATAATTAAAAGAGGTCCCTCCACAGCATCTTTTGCTGCTGTTATTTGCTGAGAACACCCACTGTGCTCAGAGCTCTGTGTTCTGAAAGACAGGGTCTCTACCCACTGAGCCTGTCGTCCAAGTTAAATAACACACTCTGGTTCAAACAATAGCATGTCATGGCTGTACAGGTGGGAGTATGGAGTTTTGATTTTTTTCCCTTCCCTCATTTAAGTAAATTTCTTGCTGCTACTATGCACTACAAAACCTTAATAGAATTGAATTTCAAGAGGGGTTTGAGTGAAAAAAGAAAGGTGGTAGTTTTGATGAAAAAGCTGACAATTTTCTAACCTAGTAAATAAGCAGATAAGATACTTCATTCAACCAACATTTGTTTGATGCCTGCTAGTGTGAGCAGTGCTCTGTGCTGGATGCTGCCGATTTTGCCAATGAAAGGACAATGGCAAGTTGCAACCCCATTTAATGGGGTCATGGGATCCATGTGCCTCCGCTTGTCACTCAGAACAATGTTGCCATTTGAAATGCATTTGTTCTGCGTTTTCAGGTTTGAATGTTTTGGAAGAGGCGTGCTGAATTATAGGTGCCTAAAATAGGAGGTGGACTTGAAACACTCTGGAGGGAGCCTCAATAGGTTCCCACAGTGGTTCCTTCGGAACAGTCATTTGAACAGTCAGCCACAGGCGGCGAGGCACAGGCTGGATCTGCATGCCTGCTCCCTCTCCTCCTGCTACATGGCTCACTCTCATTTTGCATCCTTAATCAACCGTGGGCAGCAAGGTGACAGGAGTGACGGGGTTGTGTTTTCTCATTTCTTGGTTCTCTTCTAATCACATGTGGCTGGTTGTCTTCCTCTTTGGCTTCTCCTGCTAGGATTCATTTGGGGAATGCTTGTGCAACAGCTGTGCACTACTCAGCCGTCTACACACCGGGCCTTTACTGTTTCTGCCTCGCCACCAACTCTGAACCCCTTTCACAACTCTGGCAGGTTAGCTCGAGTCCATGAACACACCCAGACTGCCGATTTCTCTAGACCTTAATGAATAATAACAGTCCTATAATAATAATAATCTGATAATTCTAAGAAATATGTGCACAGCACTTTGCCATATATTATTTCTTTTGAGCTCCTCTTCAAGTTTAAGGCTGAACCTGTGAGGAGCAGTCCCATTTACCTGATGGGGACGCTCAAAAGAAGAGAAGAGCAGGTGAAGGCCCTCCAGCTTAAGCCCAGGTCCCTCAGTGGCTACTTTGTGTATTTTCTTTCCACCACTCTGGTGCTTCTCGAACCTTCCCGTGAAAGTCCCTCATTGAAAAAGCAACAGCCCACCTCCCCTAAAATATGGGGTTGATGTTGCAGAGTGCTCCTGGAAATGTGTTTTAAAAGTTCATGTGATTTTTTTCATTCTACTTCATAACATACCTGTTTGTTTTGGTTAATATTTAAAAATGAATGATTTAAATTATGTGCGAATTACTTGATTTAACTTCCTCCCTCTCTGAACTCCAGCTACTCCTGGCATACCAGTGCATTTGTCGAAAGTGTTTATACCCGAGTTTTGAAGTCTGATCGTTCCAGATTCATTTGGCTGCCATAGTTGGGTCCTGAGGTTGCTTGTGGTTTAAACATGGTGGCTACCCGCTCTGTAGGCACTGCGAGTGATATGTTTTCTTACCCTGTTGGCCAACAGGACTGGTTCATTCTAGCCCTCGAGGGGAGACATAACCCCTTCTTCCACACTCACGTAATTCCACATGAGCTGACGTAATGTAACTGTCATGCAGACAACCACAGGATACTCACATGGTCTCTGACAGATAGGAACTTGGGGCTACTGCATGCTGAAGTGATGTCCCAGGGTCACTTGGCAGTGTAGCCTTCTTGACCTCAAAATCCACAGTCTTCCTGTCATGTTTATTCCTCCTTTAGTTTTTGTCTAGCCACTTTGCAATCTGTAGACTAGATGGTGACTTTTACCCTCGTGTGTGTGTGTGTGTGTGTCTGATATGCAAAGATGGATGGATTTGAAAAGCCCAAAACCCACTTAGAGAGGAAAAAGCAATCAGGGCTACCTTCTACTGGGTACCTGTCAGAGCCAGGCTTTGTGTTAAGCACTTTGCATGCCTACTTTTTGTGTGATTCTCATAGAGATTCAATGAGGCAAGGACTGTAGTTATGATTTTATACATGAGAAACATGAGTACTGGAGAGATTTAATAGGTTCCACAGCTGGTGAATGGCAGAGGTTTTTGAATCTGGGTGGTCTGGCTGGAGGACCTGAGCTCTTCATCACTGTCATGGACAGCCCAGCACCACGGATACTGGGTTCTGGTGTCAGTTCTCTCTAAAGTGAGTAATACCGGCTGTTTGCAGACCTAAGACAGAACAGAGAATCCCTGACTGGGAACTGAGTTTCTACTTCTGCGTGTTTGACTACCTGAAGCTCACACTCTGGGAGTGTCGCAGTTCCTGAGCCGCCAACTTGTAGAGAGCTTTGGTGTCCTTTCTCTTCAGGTTTATATTGGGTTGGTGAAAAAGTCCGTTACGTTTTTCCCATAATATAAAAGACACATTTTTTAATTTTCACCAATAACTTTATTGATTTGGATAATTTTGAGTATGTTGTGTATCTCCCACTATTGGCTTCAAACAGGTAGAGGCCAGGGGTGCTGCTAAACATCTTCCAATGCATAAAACAGCCCCACAGCAAAGAATTATTTGGCCAAAACATCAATAGTACAACGAAACTTCGCAGACCACTTCTGACATGTCTGATCAGTCACAGCACCTTCTCCATATACTGCACAAATCTCTTTTTGTGTTTCAGTTGTGTTTTTACCTTTCCTGAAAGAATAAAGCATAATACACCAAAAATGTTGTGCATCTTGTTCCACCTTCAGTGTTAAATTGGCTACACAAAAATTCACCAATTTTGGTGTTTTTTAAAAAATGCATGCCGATATGACAGCTGTCATGATACAAGCTAACAAAATTTTTTTTTGAAATGAAGTTGAAGACAACTAAGCACTACTAGAGCCATTGTTTGGAAAAAACATAATGGGCTTTTTGGCCAGGC